GCCAAGTTTGGACAACACTGCCTTAAAGTGATCACCTCATCTGCTATAACATGGTTATAGATCCAAATTATCTATAGCTCAGGTCTAGGTTGGGTATAAATCATGGATATAAAAATAGCATTTTTTATTGTTTTGAACATGATGGTGTTCCTCCATTTGAATTAATGTATCATTTAGGGAAGCAAAGAAGAGGCTATTCAGTTCCATTCTGAAGAATATGTAGAAGTGAAGATGTGTTCTGAGCTTTGGATGAGCATGGATACCAATGGCAAGGTAAAGGGCTATTAAGAATTCTGGATTGATCATAATTCTTGTCCATTAAATCAAACCAGGAGGTTCAGGCAAATGGTTTCTTATGTAGGGACCATTCTGGAAACCTTGGAGTGAGAGAGATAATCAGAGGAAGATACTCTATATCCCCTTATCCCTGCCTGCTAAGGGTGAATCTTAAGGTGTGCATAAGAAAAACTACAATATGAGATGAAGGCAGGCAAAATGAGAGAAATGGATTTTGATTTGTTATTGGGTGTTGGGCGTATTGTTTCTATGGATGGTTTGCTGTTCATTTCTAGCTGTGCTCAGGTTGTACATCGGTCTTGTTATTTTCAGTAATAGCCCAAATCTCTAGTTCGTCTTCCCAAGAAAGCCCATAAAAGCTCTCACTACATCCTGCCTGCATCACAGATTAGGCATAAAAGGTATAGTGCCTAGGGCCCATGAAACTTCTGGGGCCTACAAAAATGAAAAAAATCAAAATGAATAGTCCCCTTGGATAAAATAAAGGTGTAACAGTGCTTTTACCCTGAGTGTGATATCTCTGTAAACCCTCATCGTATACAATAAAAACACTTCCATTGTTTGTCTAGGTGGTTTCTCTTTCAAGTGGAATTTCACAGGAATTCGTCTTCTTGCAGTGTCAGAACCACAGCAGTTGCAGTATGGATGGCTACATCAATGCAGGACACAATATTTCCGTATCAGGTATATTGTACTGAGTGCCGGTGTGAGATTATTCTGCCTGGCAGTCATAGAAATACTGGGAAGTACAGTACAGAGAAATTCTGAGTTACTGTACTGAAGCAAAGAGCACCTACACCACAACGAAGTATCTTACATCACTTTAAAATCTAACATTGTTGCACAAACTTTGAGATGTGTGGACTGTTAAAGTAGGACCAAATGCAAAATGTAAAATGCAGAAAGCATGGTCAGGCTGGTGCTCTGTCTGTCCTTCCACTTGACTTTATCATAAGCTTTGCATAGAATGATTGCAAATGGTATTTCCTGAGTGCTGTTGTCTTTTTGATATCCATGTATGAATGTTTTGAGCAAAATGCAAGTATATCACTGCCAATTAATGATAATACTTCTTGCATTTGCTGAAATGGATTTGAATCAAAAAGGATCTGTGCTTCAGTGCTAGAGCATGTCATTTTCATGACAAAGGGGCTAGGTTTAATCCCAGGCATCTCCAAGTAAGTCTATAAGAACTTCTGGCTGGAAGCCTACAAGCTGCTTCTAATCAGGGTCTTTGATCCTGAGGTATATGGTATGATTTAACACAGAACTTCTTATTCTAAGAAGACAATATAATTTATGATAAGAGTAAATTATATTAAATCTGTTATTCTTGAAGGTGCCCTGTGGTTCTTTGTTATCAGAAAATGTGGACATTCACCACATGACTTTATCCTCCAGGAGTGTTGGACCATAATTTCAATCAAACTGTGCATGTCACATTCCATCAAACCACCCATAGTGATAGATAATTTATAAGGGAGATGGGATGTGTGTGTGTATAAGAGAAAGGGGTCAGGGTGCTTTGACTCTTGCAAGGCAGCTGGTTTTCCCTTTCAAATACCTACCTCCCAATACTTTTTTAAGCACGTACCATAGTTTCAGTGTAAGAATAACCTATGGTTTGCTGGAAATAGAAGACATGAAGGAAGGAGTGTGTGGAGCACAGAAGTAAAACATTGAATGGGAAAATGCTATATATGTTGTTTCTTTCTTTCTTTCTTTCTTTCTTTCTTTCTTTCATTCATTCATTCATTCATTCATTACACTTTTTTGTTGAATTTTTCAAAGTGGGTTGTTTTCACCAAATAAAATAAGATGAAAACTGGCTTGCAAGAAACGTGGGCATTTCTTGTAATTTATCATTTTTCCAAACTTAATATATTTTTCAGAGCACACAATATATTCTGAAACCTCCACAGAAGCTAATGAAAAATGTAACATGGAAGAAAACAAGTCTAGTACATTTTTAGCATTGGTGCAATTCATTATGAATCAGAGCTATATCGTTGCACTGATTACCATGATGGTAAGAGCTTTTTTTGGTGGTCTTTTAAGAGCTGTTACCAAGGAGATGTTCAGCATCAGCAACCAGGCATCCCTGTTCAGCTGTCTTACTGCACCTGGTGCCTTCCAAATAAGTCAGGAGTATTTCCAAGTTGGCCCTGTGCCTTCCTAATAAATCAGAATGTTGAAGTCATCTGAATGGGAATTTTGGGAATTATAAATCTGCACATCTGGATGGCACCAAGTTGGGAAGAATTGTGAAAGGGTCTACTTTGAGCTTGATTCTCCTCACCCTGATCACAGTTCTTTGTCTGTCTTATGATGTTGTCTTTCCAGTTCTCCATTTTAAGCTCATGTGTCATCGCCCTGAGTCACTTTTTTGTGAGATGGGCTGCTATACGAATATGATAGATAGATAGATAGATAGATAGATAGATAGATAGATAGATAGATAGATAGATAGATAGATAGATAAATATCCATCAAAATTATATCCATAAAGATACCTATGTAATCATTCTGGAGTTATATTTAGGTTATAAGGTTGTTAAGGTTAAAATTATGGCTTCATTCATAAAATAGGCATAACCTAGTTATTGAAGTCATCCATGTTCAGGATTTGCATATTATACTGAATCATAAACTAACCAAATGGGATAGGTTTGCACAACACATTAAGCTACAAAAAAATTATTAAGGTGAACACTAAGGAGGTATGTTGCGCAAGTGCATTTGGTAGATCTTTACAGAGGTGGTTAAGAGTATTATGTGAATATAGCCAACTGAGGTGGAATACTATAAGAAATGTGTCTTGTTATATACTGGCTATATTTTTAGGTCTTATTATCCATATTGGTCTAGGAAGCTGCACCTTTATCAAAATCCATCTGCTTAAAAATACATAATTGCTATGTATTCATTTGTAGGTTTGGAGTATCACTTATAACAGCTGGCTAACTTTTGTTCTGTTAATCTGGTCCTGTATAATTTGGATGGTTCACGACCGTCGCCTCTATGCCTTGCACAGCTCACCCTTTCTTGTCACGTATGGAAATGTGCTGGTGATTCTTAATTTTGTTGTGGGACTGAATCTTTCACAGGAGGAATTATTTCCAGGGGTTGCAACTTCATTACTCATTGATTTGGATTTGAAACCTTATCCTCTTCCCTGTGTCCATCTGGGAGCCAAGGTGAGCATATACTTGCTGAACTCCAAAACTTGATTCAAAGATACACTTCTGCTCCAATATACTTACTAAGGCATTATGTATTTAGCTTTTGGTTTCCATACTGTCCTTTCATAGGACTCAGGGCGGTGTAGAAAAATCAGCAACATAACAATAATTCCCTTCCCTTACAATTAAAACATTAATTAAATTAAAGCATTAAAGCATAGTTAAACATGAAAAACATATTACTAAAGGTCATCTAATGTAATTGCTAGACATCAAGTGCTGATTTAAAAAGTATGATTTTCAGCGCCTTGTGGAATGCCAGAAGGGTAGAAGTCAAGCACTCCTCAGAGGGCAGCATTTGGCATAGAATGGCGACAGCTACAGAGACAATCTTTCCCCTGGTCCACATGCCTCTTTATTCTTGTGAAAGTGGAGTCTCCAGCAGGTCACCTCTAGATATGCATACAAGATGAGCAGAATCGTGTTGGAAAGGCACTTCCTGATATAAAATCTTTGCAGGAACAATCCAAGATGACTGTCACCCTTAACAGGAGGAAGATCTCTTGGCAGAGGTTTAGTGAGTCCATTTGCTACCATCTCATCTGATGGGCAGTCACCTTAGCGCAGTGTTGTCCAAACTTGGCCACTTTAAGATGAGTGGACTTCAACTCCCAGAATTCACCAGCCAGCTGGCTGGGGAAGTTCTGGGAGTTGAAGTCCACTCATCTTAAAGTGGCCAAGTTTGGACAACACTGCCTTAGCGAGTCCCTCTGTTTGATAATACTTGGCATCTATGTTTTTTGTCCTGATATAGTTTTCTCCATTTGAAAGAGATGAATACTTTCCTGATTGTCCTCAGACATGACTGTTAGCTTTGGTTCATGTATCCAAAGTCCATTAATTGTTTATATAGCTACATCATCTGCTGGCATGTTTGTATTGCAGATACGTACTCTGCTTTGATGGATGATAGGACAACTATTGACTACTTTCCAATGGCCCAACTGATTCCCCCACCTCCATAAGGAACAGCTTTCCACTTGAGGATTTACAATTTGGCCTGCCTTCTGCCCATTCTGCATGCACGTAACCCACCAGTCTGGGGTTGCTATTAGCTGGCACTCTGAGATCTAAATGGGCAATAATATTAAGGTACTTGCCCATCTCTTGATTGCAATCCAGTCCCCTTTGGTTAGCGCACTCAACTTCCTAACAGGACTGCAAAAGCCACGGCAGTGTCAGGAATTGTCACTGTGACTGTATATTTCCAATTGCAGTCCTATATTTGCCAGTCTCAAGTAGGGGTTGATTGGAGTCAGTTCCTATTCACATACTAGCTTTCTTCACTTAGCCCCATGGACTGAAGAAGTTCCTTTATCTTCTGCTTTTGGCTAAGAAAGTAGCTCCTTTCTTTCTATCTGGACAATAGAATAGAAGATGCTCCCTAGCTCTTTTGCCTCTATTTGTTGAGGTTCTTTAAGGGTTGTCCCTTTGATCTTGCTAACAAATGACTACTAACCATATAGGTTAGGATATATATCTATCCATTTTTTAAAAAATGTGGAATAGATAAGAGTCAGCTTTAACCCTTCCTTGACTAGTATTTGACTCAACTGTTGTTCCAAGCTCCAGATGCCTGCTTCAGATAGTAGATGATCTTCTGGGGGGTTGTCACATGTAGATATCCCTGATTTGTTCATGCAGGAGTGCAGATCTTATATCAAGGTATTCTACTTGCATGTTCCTTGCTTCTGCTACAGTATGTCCTTATGAGCAGTGTCCTTATAGCAGTATACATGACTACTGGGTGTATCCTTTAACCACCAGTCTGACTTTTGGTGTTACATATCCCCATCTGCATCATGGTTAGTCTTAAATGCCACTGTTTCCTTTCCTGTAGGTAATTTAATGAGTTTCCAAGTGCAGCCCTTCGACTTCAATTTCTTCTTCTACAGCTTTTCTCCATTTCTCATATTCATTGGTTCACGTTCTCTCAGTGTTTTCTCATGTATGGGTTCTCCATCTGCCTCTTCTTTGCAATGTAGGAGAGCCCTCAGGCTAGAATCTCACTGAGTGTTTTGGGTGTGATGCCTCCATTCCCCTTATTGGTTTTGACTTGCTGTTTGGACACATGATGAAGGTCTCCTTCAAAGCCCCTAGGATTTGATTCACCAGTTCTTTGGACATGGGGCACAAGATATGACCCTTCAAGGTTCTTCTCTTTTTCCCTCTCATAAAAATAAGCAATGCTATATGTTTTAGTAGTTTGCATAGAGACATGAGGATTCTGTGTCCCTTGCAGTTCTGTGAATATCCACCCATCATTACCTTTGTCACATCTGGAGTTAAGTTTGGTTTGTTCCTTCTCTCTCTCTTTGGCACATAGAAGAAATAGGAGAAGGGCCCCTAAACTGGCTTTCCTTCTTGGCATAGTTTCTTATGGTGACCTTGCCTGGAAACCTACTTTGCAGTCAGGTAGCCCTTTTGATTGTTTGTCCCCAGTATATTTGCTAGTCCTGCATTCATTATTTCTGTAAGAGCAATTTTTACTCTCTATTATGCTATTCTTTTTGGGGTACAGAGCATATAGTCCAATGTACAATCCCTTGCTCTTTCAGGTACTTTTTCATGCCCCTTTACCTCTGCGTAATAATTGGGGCTTTCTGTTAAATTTTTTGCTTAACAAAGTGACATATTCCTTGAAATCCTTCAGTACTTGACTGTTTTCACTGAGCAAGTAGCAAAAGGTAAACCTAGAGTAATCATCTGTAAATGTTAATAGATATCTGTTTATTTGTTTCTGCCTGGAGTACTCACTTGCATGGGTCCTCAGATGTCAATGTAAACCAACTGCAAGACTGCATCATTTCTTTTTCATTCTACTCTATAAATGAATTGGCACAGAAGGATTTGCCTTTATATAACTGGGACACATTGGATGGGGTACACATGGCACATTTTGAACTCTTGGCACTTTTTCTACTAGTCTCTGGATTTCTATGCCTCATCCTTCTGTGTCACAGGTTTAAATAGTTGCTGTGACTGCATGTTTTCACTGCTCTGGCTTCATTCTCTGCACTAACCGCTTCCATCAGTCCCTATTCTTGAAGGCTGCATTTCATAAGGAATTCTTTGAATCACACATAATGGTTGCCTTTATACCCTTTCTATGTTCTATACTTTACTGAGAGCAGAATGGATTCCAAGTCTAGGACATATAATTGTCAAAATGATCTCTTTGCTGAGAAAAATAATCTAATTGCCTAAAGGAGTTTCTGTAATCTGCAAAGTATATTGACAATTGATGCCTAGTGTCTAACTTGATATATTTATTTTTGAAAGAAAACTATTTTGTACTGGAGAGAGCAGTTGGGCTTGGAAAGGCCAAGGCTGGAAGGAAACCCCCCCAAGATTAGCAATCTCACAGACAAAGACCCTCTATACCCTACTGGCCTTGTGGTCAGTAGATTGCAAGGTGCTGAAGAGAGTAAAATTGAAGTCACACTTCCAGTGTTATCCAGTTCTCATCTACATATTCCTCATCAAAATGCCTATGTGGTTCTGTTGCAGATTTTATATCAGCTTTCCTTCTGGTTGTTGTTGAAGCAGTATGTTACACAAAGACGGAAGCAAGAAGAGGAAGAATCTCTCAAAGAAGTGATAGTATATCAAACTGGTAAGAACATTTAATATTAAATAAAGTTACCCTGAACTTTTGCCCCTCTCTTTAAAATGGATTTTAAAAACCTTCATTCAATCCAGGAATGACGGCAGAGAAACTAGTTTAAGTCTTAAATTACAGAAAGGCAGATTCTGCCTGATTGTTAGAAAAAAAACTCTTCTTGATTATAAAAGCAGTTTGAGAGTAGAACCTGTTTAGGGAGGTTCTAAGATGTGTTCAAGTTGAATCTGGGTAGCCATGGATCATGAATTCTTTAATTTGGACTTTTTATAACTCTGGAGTTTATAAACAGTATGTTTTTCTATGGGCTTTGCTCTTGCTTCACCACATCTCATAGCATCTAATGCAAGTAGGTCTTCTTCAGTCTCTGTTACAGCTTCTCTACAACTTCATTATGCCAGGAATACAGGCTTATTGTGAATTTAACCTTAATCTTTCTACTCAATTTCACACTCTGTAAAAAAAAAGATCAATTTCCCCTGTTTAAAAATCTTTGGTGAACTGAGCACCAAACTCATGCCCTACCCTGCTCCCAATTTCTGGGTTCAAGCAATCCATTCTTCTCTCCACCCCCTCCTAGCACTGAAAACATGTGTATGTGTGTGCCTGTGTGTGCATGCTAGCCATTGATTTTCTTTGTGTGGATTGAGGGCAAAGTGATTTTTGTTATTCTGGAAGCTGGGGAAGCTCAGGGCTGATGGTAGCAGTGTTTCAATCTCATTCATTGCACTCTCCTGTTGGTGAGCTGGAGAGAGAACAAGTTGACTCATGGTTTTCCCACCCTGTCTCTGTGTTTTGAGGCCACTAGAGGTGAAGATGATAGAAGCTGTGTTCAAACTGGTTGGAAATGGAGTGAAAACTGTACAGTGTGGAAGTGCTCTACCATTCTATTAGAGCGAAGAGTGAGAAAATGTACTGTATTGTTGGGGAGGAGACTGCTGCTACATACGTTAGGCTTTGTGTACATAGAAGTGTTCAAGGAAGCACAAGTATTCCATGTAGGATGTTTCATTCTTGAGAAAGAAGAGGGGGCAAACGCCAATTTCCACTTTGTGGTTCCTTAATCTGCTATCCAGAGTCCCTCAGGCCCATAGAACCTCATTTTAAGTGGCAGAAGTGCTATTAGAGGTAGAAGCGATCCTAAATGTAGCATCCACAGTCACTTCTTCCAGCACAGAGTGATAGATTGGATCCATGTTATTATGTATTATGTATTATAACTAAAGGTGGAAGAGAAGCAAATAGGAGACTGGGGAATATTTTCAGGAAATGACTTCTCAGTATTTTTATAAGAAAATTTAAAGGTGGTTGGAAAGAATAAGAGAGGTAATTTCCTCCCTACCCCCGCCACCCCCACCCCAATACCCACATATAGTAGTAGAATGGACAACATACTTAGTGTGATGGTATGTGAGAATGGCCTTGGGAGACAGGAGGAAGATCCAGAGCCTTGGCAACAGTCTGAGAAGAGGCAGCTTAGTCCACAGGCGGGGAAAAAACATGGGAAGCGTTTCTGAAGGGACCCTCCCTAGTTTTCCGGAGTCTAAAAAGAGAGGAAGAAAGAAATACTTTTTCAGTCTTGCAAGATTCTGTTTAACATAACCTTACAATAAAGATAGTGCTGATGCTCTGCTCATGCTTCTTGTCTGGACTACCTCAAAGGTATTGTTGGATATTATGCACATTTTTCTAGGTGGGAGGGCAAAGAAGTACAGGGGTATAACATTATAAGTTGCACACATAGCAGAAAGATGAACACAGAAACACAATGCACTTTTGGGGGGGTTGCTTTCCCAATAAAGTAGACAAGTTTTATATTCAGGATTCAGAAAAAGGTATCAACAACTCTAGCAATACTTGATTGGAAGGAGCATGTAAGGGGCGTCCATAGGAGATGACAAAGTAGTCAAGAAGCCAGCTTTAATCACAGAACTGTAGCCACCGTCTTGACTTCTTTGATCTCTCTCTGTGGATGGCTGTGGCAGTGTATCTGCCTATACAGATAGTATTATGGTGGAGGTGGGGGGCAAGTGAGTATTCTGTGCTTAGTCCAAGATCAGTTTTGTGCAGAGCTGTTTAGCAGGAAATTCTGTTGACTCCAATGAGACTTGCTCCTAAATAAGCAAACATTGGATTAGAATCTTAAACCATAAACTGTTAGTCAAATACAATAACATTTATCCTAAAAGATCATTCTGGGCCACTGAATATTAATGATGCACCTGACTAAATTTACACTCTTGTTGCAGAAATGGACACACAGCCCAACCTGTTTCTGGATATACTTGGTTCTATATTTAAGAGGATGCTAGTAAAATACTGGATTTACTTCTGTTCCATCATCTTTTTTATTGTCAGCTTCAGCGGCCAAGTGGTCCTATATAAAATTCTCTACATTATCCTTTTTCTGTTCTGTGTGGCTTTGTACCAGGTAAGCAGGCCTGGAATTTAATCTTGCTTGATTCCTAACAGGGAAGGGAAGGGAAGGGAAGGGAAGGGAAGGGAAGGGAAGGCCAGATCAAATTTGGGATGCATTAATCTGTCAGTTTGCATTTTTCTTGGTTCTCTACCACTGAAATTTTATTCTTTTTCTGTTTCCACATCAGCTTGCAATTGGTGTGGAAGTCTGCAGAAAAACACATTTGCATTTATTTATATATTTTTCTTAATAGGCATGCATATTTGTATATAGACTTTTGTCATATTCAAGGTGCTATTGTGATAGAAAAACTACCTTAGAAATTTCAAAGAAGTGCCAACATTGAAGGTACTTTCAAATTAGTTCATTCCTTGGCTCCAGAAATGCATGGATCTGATAGATTCACATTAAGTTACAATCTGAAAATTTTCCCCTTATCCTTTCTAGCCTAGCCCTGTTATATTAATTCACAAATTGGAGAAACTGCCTGTCTCTCTGGATGTAGCTATGATTATTGAGAGGTTTTTTTTTTAACTTCTGAGGGCTGCATGAGAAGCTTGAAATTTCTAAGAAAGAAAATGACTCCAGACACGCTATATTTATCTACAGTCACACTGTAGTACCAGTATAAAGATAAATGGCTTTTGAAAACTGCAGTTGAGTTTGATTTCTCTTGACTATATCTCCTCTAAGTCTTCCAGCACAATTATCTGATTATATTCAGACTCAATACGAAGGCTGCAAAACTGAATTCTTTGGTTCTAGATTCATTATGAGAGGTGGAGACGAGTCCTGAAGGGATTTTGGCTGATAGTTGTCTCCTATTCAATGGTAGTCCTCATTGCTATATATGCCTACCAGTTTAAGATGGTTTCTGCATTTTTCCTAGAAACTTTGGACATATCAGAGGAAAGGTAAGGCCTTTAATTTAAGATTCTATATTCTTATTGTATCTTGGGATTCTTTCCAAAGCCTGTTGTACTGAAGCAAATAAAGAATTTGCTGCTAGTATTAAAATATACATGACAATACTAGATTAACTCAGCTATAACTCTCAAACCTTCTTTAGGTCTAGCCCAACTGTTGGGACTTCATGGCACATCCATGTAGATGTTAGTACAGGTGGTCCTCACTTAACGACCACTCGTTCAGCAACCTTTCAAACTTACAACAGCACTGAACGAGGGGGACTTACAACTGGTCCTTGAAGTTCCAGCCATCACAGCATCCTTACGTACACATGATTGCGATCCAGGCATTCAGTGATCAGCTTGCAATTATGACATCGCAGCATCCCATGGTCACGTGACCACCACTTGCAACCTTCACTGCCAGCTTCCAACAAACAAAGTCAGTGGGGAAGCTGGCAGGAGGTTGCAAATGGTGACCCTGTGACATCGTGCTTAATGACGGTGTGGGATTCGCTTAACAATAGCAACTGGATGTGCTGGAACTGCTATCGCTAAGCAGCACAGTCACATGATGTCACGCTTTATGACCATGTTGCTTAGCAATGAAAATTCTGGTCCCAATTACTGTCATTAACCGAGGCTCCTATAATAATACAGAAGCGTTTTGATTTTTTTTCAGCTTCTCAATCTGGTATGCAACTATTACTCATGTAATATCTCTGACCCACAATAGGCTACACTTTGAAAGAACCTTACATTACAAGCAATATTTATTTATTTATGTATTTATTTATTTCAATTTATATAGCTGCCCATCTCACATACTGTACATGACTCTGGGCAGCTTACAAGTTAAAACAACAAAAGTCAAAATTCATATAAATGAAATTAAAACAATTACCCAAAGACATAAAAAATGTGGTAGAATGCCAGCCAATAACTCACAAACAATGCTGCCATCTCAGCAAAAATCAGGGGAAATTACTTAAAAGTGATCCATAGATGGTATTATACCCTTGTACAAGTAACTAAAATTACTGGGAAAGGCCCATATAAATGCTGGAAGTGTGGCAAAGCAAACAATAGATATATGCATGTATGGCAGTCCTGTTAGGTCAGTGTTGTTCCCCCCACTGATCCCCCCAAGCATTGAAAGAATGTGAGAGAAATATCCCTACACACCCTCCCACCCTTCCC